AGGGTGGAAAAATTTCACTGTCTTCAGATCATTGCATAGAAGCCTGTTGAAACCATGCTAACTTCTTTACTGGACCTAAGAATTAGCATACAGAAGGAAACACATCATTTGATCACTTTGCTGTGTTAAGATGACTCCACTAGCTTTTGACAAGATGTGTGAAAACAGAAGAGTAGTGTCCACTTAATTGCCTCTATGTGTTTAAATTTCTGAACAGTACTTGTATTGGACGAAAATACAAATTAAGCCTGTTTAATAGAGCTTACGATTTGTATTCTGTAGTCCAGTGCTTGATAGAGACTGAGTTATCTTCAATTTTTTCTTCATCTAGAAACCAGGAGAACGTGGAAGTGGAACTTATTTTTGCTAATGAGGCTACAGTTGTAAAGCCATGTGGGCAGTTCAGGGTTTCAGTCAGAATCTACTGCAGAATAACTTGGGTTTTCCTGTTTGTTGTTTTCGGTTGATGGTGGCCTTTGTTCATTCCTACAGCTGCTTTATTTTATTTTTTTTTAGATTAAAACAAACCTTGAGGTTAGACAAATTATAGCTTCTTTTGAACTTCAATGCTGTTTCTGTAAAGTGTATACTTTAAACTCAACTTCATGTTTTATGTGAAGCAGTTGAATAGTTTTGAACATAGTTTTCATCAACCTGCCTAACACTTGAGAAGCCCAACTTGTGAATTTACAAATGTGATTTAGTAGCTTCTTTTCTTTTTTTGGATTTTTTTTTTTTTTTAGTCCTTGTTTTGTTTTGGTTTTTTTTGGGGGGGGCGGATGGTGTGTTTTTTTTTTTTCCTGAACTGAGTTGCAACTAAATGTTGTAAATACTTAACTGAATTTTCTGTTGGTGATGGGATAATTGCAAACTGAAGATTCCATGGTGTAATTTTCAAATTTTGTGCTTTTCTTGGCACTTCCTTCCTAAATACGACCAAGAGCCTACATCTTCCTACTACCCAGTTTTAATCTTTTACTTTCCGTCCCTGCAGTCTCTAGCACTTATTTCACCCACTTCAGCTTCTACTTCCGTGGTAATGTGCTTAGTCCTTCCCATCACTGATGTGGCCTCATTTCCACACTGCGAGGTCTGTCCTGCAATCTCGTTCTGGAGACATTAATTCAGTTATTCTCTTACCAAGGGATCATTTTGATTTTCTGGAAACAAAAGTGTGGGTAGTTATTTTACATTTATGTGAGGATAATAGTCAAGATTGTCTTTCAAAGGGAATATACACAGCTGTGCTGTTCTTAATACTGTCTGAGGCTGTTGAATACTGTAATTGAAACATAAAAAGTAGGTGAAGCCCCTGAGATCAGTTGTGTTTTTGGTGTGAGTTTTTGGGAAAAGGCAGCTGTGCATGGGAGAGAACCTGTGAATGTCCTTTCTGAGGAAAAGGCTGACCAGAACAGAACAAAAAAGTCAGCTTAGATGCCAGAGAAGCTGGTTGGGTCTCACTCACTCTCACTTCTTTTGGGTAGCCTACCTGTATAAAAAGCTTCCATTACAACTCAGGGAATTTTGTGAGGTTAATGGTGTCCTAAGATTCTCCAGTGGCTCTTCCTGCTGCTTGCTAGTTTTGTTTTGTCATGGTGTCTGTTAGAAGGTGTTTCTATGGAGTTTTTATTTTCCTTTCTCAAAACTTTCATTTCAAATGCATAGAAAGATATCAACAGGACTGTAAGATCAATCTTTAAGGTACACTTCAGCAGTAATCCTTATTTTGCAGTTCTAACGACAGTTCTGAACTTTTCCTGAAAAATGGAAAGATGAATTTTAAGAGTGTTTTATCTCTTAGGACTTTCTTATGTGTAAGACCTTCCCTCTCTTTTTCCGTCCTTTATTTTATATATAGCAATTTTCTCCCATGAGTCATCCAATTTGAAGATATGTGTTCTCGCACTGTAATTTCCCTCTTCTGGTGTAATTGTACTTGTAGGACTTTTTTGTTAAGACCCACCCCTCCCCCAAGTCAGTGCTCTCTTTTCTTCCTTTCAGTTAGTTGCTGGTAAGTGTCTATATTTGTTCAATTTTGCTCTTCAGTCACGCTGTTAGGCTACCTTAGCTTAAACTGCCTTCGGAGGTGCCTGACTTCACAGTTGCAGTAGATGTGTGTGGTGCCAGTTTACCTGTAGCAGCTTCAGTCGGGCAGTTGTACTGCAGTGATGTGTGAAGACATGATAACTTGTTATTTTCCCACATTATGGGCTTTGTTGATTTGTATTGTGTATGTTCTGTTTATGTTTTGTACTACTATTTTGCTTGTTTGAAGCCAGATTGCAGAAAGACTTTGTTTCTAAATAGATTTAGAGTAGTGGTGGATGGATAGGAGGGTTGATATTTATCACAAATATTGGTTTAAAGAGATAATCAGGCCAATTAAAACAGATCTAATATTTAAGAAGCGTCTATTTGATGAAACAGCTCCATTGTTTTTCATCAGCCACAGCTGTTGTAAATGTTATCTCTGTGGAGGCAGATCTCTTGTTATGTAGGTCACATCAAGGAAAAATAGCAGCTGAACACTTGCTTCAAGTATTGTGGAGGAAAGCGCAATGAAAACACTGTCTATGTTCCTGTTGAAGTGTTTTGAAACAGCAAGAGGAGTTGTGTAGTAGACTTTGGCAATTTGTATTAAGACAGGTTGTGAAGGTGGAAAAATAAGTAAAAACATATCCAAACATCCTTGTCCCATCTAAATAAAAGTAATTTAAAAACAGAATTCCTTGAAGGAATTTTTGAATCAGAGGAGAAGAGAGTACTTTTAGACTTTGGGCCTTGAAATGAGCAGCTTCCCTTGAACTTAAATAGTAAACGGGCTCTTCAGTTTTCGTTCTCTGTTTGCCCAGCAAAATATTATTTGTGGGGAGGGGAGAGGGTAATAGTTTCTGCTGCTTCAGCTTTGAAGCTGTCTGCTGCAGTGGCATTGCAGATGATGTGACTGACTACATACACTTCCTGATTTTTAATTTTTTTTTCACATCCTTTTTGTTTCCCCTTGGTAAAAAGAGAGAAGCTTCTTGAAGAGGAAGAACAATAAATCAGAATAAAATAATTAGGGAGAATATGGCAGCTATTTCTAAGACAAATAACGTGTTTGTAACTTTGGAAGCAAGTGTAATTTTTAGGAAATGGCATGTTGCATTAGCATGCCGCATTTTCCCATTGTACAGACAAAGGGAATTGTTTTGAAGTCTTCTGATACAAACAGACCCTTCAGTGTACTGTATGGTGGTAGTAGTAGTCAGAGAATGTCTTTGATTCAGGGGTCTTAATGCATAGTGACTCCAAAATTGAGCTTTGCTGCTACTTCCTGAGAACAGATCTACTGTGAGCTGAGTAGAAGGTTTTACTGTTGTTGGTACTAGTGGAAATAATAGACCAGGTGAGGTTTCTGGACTGCTTTATGTGAATGTGGCTGATTATAGTGCTAATAATTTTTTTGTTAGAAATTAATTGAAATATTTTCCACACTTCTAATATGTACATTTCTAATGCAAAATTTGCAAGAGGATATTTAGTATAGAATGTCACTAGACTTAGATTTGAAAGGCTGGTGTTCTGTGAGACTAAGGTGTTGTCCACACCCCTGAAATCTATACCTAACAAGTTTTATTAATACTTATGTATCTTTAGTAGATTGAAACAGCTTAGAAATTGGATTCTGGACTTCCGATGGCAGTGTTTTTGTTCTCTGACTAGCAGTGAGACACTAATCAGGCAAACTTCTTTTGCCCATAAATGAGTTTATGTGGCATACAACTTGCCATGTTATTTATACTTCCAGTGCAGAATTCATTCTAAGGAACAGTCAGGAAGGACATGTTGACTGAGTTTTTCCAATGCCCTTGTAAAGCTTCTGTCTGATCTCTGTATGTTTTTTGCTGTGTTTTAGGCCTTTGTATTCACTAGAGGTAAGATTAATACACAATTCTTTTGGGCATAATTCTATGGGGAGTAGATTAATTTATAGTAAGCGTAGATCATTGTGATCTCTGGATTTGCATTTTATGTCTAGAGTAGCTAGTAACAAGTAATGTGTGAGCATATATGTATATCTAAACCCTTGGTCTTTCCTGCTTGTTGGTCTGTTTATTTAACAAACCTCAATTACTATTTTGAGGAACCTTTCTTCACAGTGTCTGCACTTACTAGCTTGCAGCGTAGGCTTTTACTGCCACTTTAAGATATCGTTGACAGATGGGATCGATGCAAATTTTTGGTTTTAACCATATTCTTCCTTTTTATGTTACTTTCTGTGCTTGTTAACAGGAACACCTTTAATTTTTTTTCAGTAAGGGTTCCTGTTAGTATCTAAATTGTTCTGAAAAGCGATGTCAATGTAAACACTAAAAATGAGGTGTTGCAGAGGTGATATAGTGTCAGGCAAATATTAATGTAGTTACCAAGTATGATGTAAAGGGAGGAGATGTCTTAATTATCTTGTAAAATGTAAATCATTACCTTATCAAAGTTGACTTTGTGTCTAACATAACTCTATGAATCTGCCATATATTGTATGCTGGGTGGTTAATAAAACATGTCAGTTTATAGTGGCCCTTGAATTAACATAGGTGAAAGGTAAAGGGCTGGTGAGACGTACTCTAAGCTCAGCATTAAATTGAAAAAGTTCATCACAGATTTTCTTTGTTAGCCTTTATGTATGAGGAAGCTTAGCTATTTTTATTTCTCCCAAGCCTTCGTCATTTAAGAATCCAATGAATGTTGCACCTTTGAGGGGCTAAATTGTGGTGTGTGAGTACCAGTGCAACATTTGTGGCTTAAGGATGTTTTAAAGGAAACCATAAAAACACATTTCACTGCTTATTAAAACTGAATGGATCCTGGAAGAACAAACTTAATTCCTGTATTTAAAGTATCTTATATACTTAATAACATAGTAGTTCTGATTTGATATGATTTCTTGTAGGCAATTGGAATAATTAAGTTCTGTCTTGCTTTCTTTCTAATCAAGTGTTCTTATTTTAGCTGACAAATCAAGACCGCCTTCATCAAGCCCTTCCAGTATTATTCGCCGGACTTCCTCATTGGATACACTCGCTGCTCCGTACCTTGCTGGACAGTGGCCTCGTGATAATCATGGACAAGCTGCTCCATGTATGAGAGACAAAGCCACACAGGTAGGACACATTTTTTGTCTTCAGAGTATTTAAATATGAACACAGGATTCAAATGTAAGAAGATTTTCCCTTGAAAACATTCACTTTAGCTTTCTTGTTTGCAAGTTTCTATTCACTTTCAAATTGCAGGAATCCTACCTTTGGTATTAGGTATGTGAATTATTTGCATTCTTCTCTAAGAAAAGGCTGTGAACTGTAGTATCTGTTAAGAGCTGCACTTTCTTCTTGCCTCAGAAAAGCACTAGTGTATTGCACGTCTGTGTTGTCGTTGTTCTGATAGTGTGCAGTGCTAGATTGCATGGATGTTAAGTACTATTTAGTTTAAGTTTATACAGGAGAACTTAGTGACTCCTTATATATATGTCTGTCTTAAAACAGAATAAAAAAGCTCTGTAGTGCCTGTATAAAAGTTATTGTAGCCTTTTTTTGTGATAGGCTGTTCATCCTCTGATTGTAAAAGGCCTTTAATGTTCACCCGGGATCTATGCACCAAGTGTAGAATTATATCCATTGAAGAGCTGCCTCGTTGAACCACGAACGATGTTCAAACTTGGCTCAGCTGGAGAGTATTTAAAAAGTACATGATTTGACAATAAACTTCAACTTGACAAAATTTCACAAGCTTGTGATGGTTCAGTCCTATGCCGCCTGTAAAGACAGAACCAACATACAATCGAATGCAACTGGCGTTATAAGAGTTATATGCTTATCATGACAGTTGTTTTATCATCCCCCTTAAAGGAAGCTGTTGTAACATAGTATTCTACTGTAGGCAGAAGTGTTTCAAGTTGGATTTTTCCGTAAAATATCCCAGTATTTCATTTCTCCTTCTGTGGATGCAGTCTGGCAGTTGATTTCTCTAACTTGTATGGTGAGAGAAACATCCAAACATATCAGACTTTAAATCCTTATTTCTAGAGCATGGTCTCCACAACAGGTCTCCACCAATACCAAAGAACATGAGCAAAATGCAGCTGGAAGAGAAGCTGACAGCATGTGGGCCACACTTGAGTGTGAACCTGCTTTCAGTCTGGTATCAATAACAAAAATATGGCCAGCTAGGTTTCAGTGTGCTGTCTCCTCAAATGTGTAGGAAGTTGAGCAGATGATGTCTGCAGCATTGCTTGTTACTTTGTGGCTTTCTCGAGATCCACATCATTTTGCAGAAAGGACCGCAAGTCAAAGAGCAGATCAGTAAAAAAGAAAGGTGTTTTGTAGGGGAACATGACTGGGTGGCTAAGGTAGAAATACAAACTGGTGAAGAAAGGAGAGCTGAGGAACAAGTTTCTGTGCAGGAAAATAAATTGGAAAAATGTTTTTAGAAGATGGGGTGAAAAAGGTAAGCAAATCACAGTAAGAGGAGGAGGAGGATAAAGAAAGGTGTATGAAATATGAAGAATTGCTGTTAACAGGCACCATTAAAAGGCAGAAGTAAACCAGTGTGGATGCATTAGCTATTTATGTTCATATTTGATTTCTTAGGATAATACTTTTTTCAAAATAATTATAGTTCTGTACTACTGCCAAAGTATTTGCTATATTCAGTTTATCTCTTTCAGCTTAGTTTTGGTTTAATCTGAGTCATGGTTGGGTTTTTATAATCTGCGTATTTTCCAGCTAGATTAGATATCATCCTTTTCGGTTTGCATTTTTCTTTTGTTTTTTCTTCCAATTCTGACACATCCAGCTGCTATGATAGTGGGCCTTTCATATTTAAGAGGAAACATGTTTACAAAGATTAATGGGAAGACTGTAAAGGGCATTGGATATTTCTGCAGAATAAGTATATTTAGTGGTGATTGATGTTAGTATACTGCTGAGGGAAATAGAATAATCTGTTTGCACTTCCTAATTTAAAATTTATCAAACCAGTAGGAAATTTTGGGATACAGATGTACATCCGTACATCCAAAGCTTGTGTTGATATGACATTGATGAGGCATCATTGCTTTTAATCTTTCTGGTGTGCTTGAGAGCAAGCATTTGAGCTAGGGACAAATTTAAAATGTGATTTACAGTAGTTAGTTTCCCAAGATAGCATAGGCTCTCCATTTGTGTTGTTCATCCAAACACCACATCTTCAGAAACACTGAAGTTTTCGCTTACAAGGTACTCTGGCTCCAGTGTCCCATTTCAGATTTCACAAAATCTGATGTGAAATAGATGTGTTCAGATTTCAAAAGGTGAGGGAACTGGAATTGAATCTATTAAGATATAAAAAAATTTCAAGTTGACTAAGAAGGGTATTTTGATTCTGCAGGCTTATTGCACAGGGAGGAGAGTCATTCAGGAAGCAGAGTGGGAACAGACAGCATTTAGTGACATGCTTTGGCTTGCAGGCCTTTATAGAGATGCCGATAGGTCATAGCTGTCTACTGTGTAAAGAGATCCCAGGTCATGCGGAGACTGTCTGTGTCAGACTACTCCTTCAACTGATTGTTTTGGTGAAACCTGTCTTTAAAACCAGACTGAATGTATGTACATGCAGAATGCTTGTTGGATGATGAATAATTGTAATATTGAGTGTCCGAGGGTCTGGCTAGACTTGATACATGCACATATCTTTTAAGTGCTGCTAAAACAGGTGCTTGTAATCTTGTCTTTTTCCCTTTGAATCAAACCTGTTTGGCTTTGCCTGTCGTTGTTTAAAATACAACTATGTCAAAATACAACTTAAAATGAGACAATTGCTTTCAGTTTTTTTAATTCTTAAAGAATAATTCATTTGAACTGCAAAGTAAAGTTTTTGCCTCTTAAGACTTTTTTTTCTTAAGTGTTCTACTATCTGTGATAGATTTAGCCTTAAACTTTTTTCTCTTTGTGATTCTAGAAAGGATGTTGTGGGTGGTAACAACTAATAAGAAAGTAGTAGTACTTTAAGAACCTAGAGAAAGAGAAATACCTCTTCGTTTATTGGTTATTGGGTTTGTGTTTCTTGAAAATAAGTATTATAAACAAAATAGTATTGCATTTCTGTCTTGATGTAAAGGTTTCCTATAATGTATTATACCTACTCTTGCTAGAAAAATATTTCTAACTCTTTGGTTTGAGGATGAGCAACAAAACAAAATCAGATATTAATTTATGAAGTAAGTCTTGAATATTAAGTCAAAGTCTTGAATGTAAATTAAATGCAAAGACTGATCAGTGTTAATTAGATTCCTATAGGCAAGTGTAACGGTTGTGCTGAGTCGGGAAGTTAGAATTAGTGGCTAAAACTTATTGTTCCAGGAGCTAGAGGATAGGATGAGACTCCAGATTGACACTTGAGAATTGACTAGACAAAGATTGGTACTTGGCAGTGGGGATTACCAATTATTCTATTTTATGATGAGGATAAGTGAGTGCTTTTCTAGAAAAATAGTTTCTGATGGATTCTAATTTTGCTATGAAATAGGAATTTCAAAGCAACCCTACTAACTTCATCATTCAGATTTGTCCTAGTTATTGATTTGGAATCATGAAGAAGAAAAAATACTGATAGTGGAGGTTTCATTTATATGAAACTTATATCTAACTGAAGCTGACAGGAATTACAGCCTTTATGTTTGGAGTTACACCTCCATTTTCTGTGCGAAATGGGGATTAATACCACATCATGGAAGGCTTTGTGAGTTTCTGTGTTGTGAATACAGATGGGGTAAGTAAGGTCTGCTTGTGACTTGCAAGCTATTAGTCTCAAATGTAAGAACAACTGTTGCGCACTGTAGATATCAAGCTTTGAGGCAATCGAAAGTACCTGTTTGTAGGAGAAAGTGAGATATCAGTGACTTCCAAGGATGAGTTAGCTAGATTGCCACTGTATGCTAAGAACTGCGCTGTGGCAACAGTGAATTTAAAAGAATTTGCAGCATAAGCTGCTTCCAGAAATCCTTCCCCTGCTTCATTAGGTATATTTCTTGTGACTGCATGGAAATTCCTGGTAGATGTTGTTATCCCTCTTCCCAGAACCTTTGCAGTTCACTGCTTTTGAAGGCCATTTTGGACATGGTTAGGTGGAAATACAAACTGTCCATAAAGCGTGCAGTATTATCATAGGCTTGCCTGTGCATTTTGTTAATTTAAATAAATAGTTTGTCTTAATGATACTTTTAATTTCTCAGAACTTTTTTACTGTACTATGTTTGCAAGTTTCTTTATTAAATGTTAATGACTTCGTTGGTTTAGTGAAACTAGCTTAGTATTGTCCGTGTTGCTTTCAGCTTGGCCTAAGACAACTATGAACCTGAAGCCCTTTGAGGTGTTAAATTCTCTGCTTTGCAATAGCTGTAGTGTGCTTATATGCGTTGCGTTCCTTTTCCTCATTCTTCTGAGCGAGAACGTGATTTTGCAGCTGTACTGGTGCAGATTTTCAAAGTGTTTACACCAAGGCACCCTTGCTAAAGCATCAGAAATAACAAAGACAGCATCTGTGCAGGAAATGAAATATGTCTCCCCCAAATTCAGCACTGTTGTACTGATTCTTCAGAGCTCTATGGCAGCTTGTGGTACATCTGGCTGTTAATACCACCTTATGTTCAATAATTGGGAAGGGAAACTAGCACATTCCAGTATTAGAGTAGATCTGAAGGTTGTTTTTTTGTGGGTTTTTTTTAAATTGCATAGTTTCACTCACTTTTTTGTACTTTGCTTGTCAGAAAGACTTCTAGTCAGTGACTGCTTTTCACTCGCATTTCTGAGTCTAGCAAATCTTAGCACTGTTCTCTCTTCTAATTTGTCTCAAAATATTCTGCCAGAAAGTAGGAATAACTCTTTTTTTTTTTTTTTTTTTTAATTAATCCTATAATCTTCTTGTTGCAGACAGAAAGTGCCTGGGCTGAAGAATATTTAGAAAAGAAGAGCTCACACAAACGTTCAGCATCATGGGGCAGCAATGATCAACTGAAGGAGGTCAGAAATGCTATTATTTGAGATAATTTTGGATTATCTTTTTTACTAGTATGCACTGTTACCATGAGTTTTCAGGAAGGAATGAATATTGTACTGCTCTGTTTTATTATACAGATCGTAAGGTTGGTAAAATAAGAAATAGCTGTTCGTTTGGTATTGATTTCGTATAATAATGCAGGACTATTAAAAGTTTTTAATCTGAATATGTGGAAAAGAAAGTGTCAAATGCAGGTGATGTTCTTCATCGAAGGAGGAATCACAGCAGTGACCAAACTGCTTTCAAACTTTATGTATTTCAGGCTCTTTGAGTAAACCTCCAGCGGTATCTTCTGGGCTTCAGCCAGACTGGTAGCTAACGTGTTAGGTTTACAAGAACTTGAGTCTAATTTAATGCTGACAATAATTATGAATGTTGTGGTAGTAAAGAATTTTAACTAAGTGATGGAATGAATTGATGAAACTGTGTGTGTACCTGAATATATCTGTTGAAATCTGATGTGAATTTTTCCTTTATTAGATTGCAAAATTGCGTCAACAATTGCAGAGAAGCAAACACAGCAGTAGGCATCATCGTGATAAAGAAAGACAGTCTCCATTTCATGGTAACCATGCAGCCATTAACCACAGTCAGGTAAGGCTGTGTGCTTTTTGGACATATTGGGTAGGTAATACTTTTTTTAACTCCTTTCAGGGATGTGGTTTGTGTTAAAGGGAACTTAGAAATACGACGTATTGCTAAATATGTTGTAGCTATAGGTGAATTATATTAAGTAGATCTGTTTCCTTTGACTTCCTCATGTGTATGGGGTCCCAGATCTTTTTGTTACTTGGCTGAGTTGGCTTTCAACTCCCCCTTTCAAAGAATTTCAGATAGTTAGATCCTTCCTTAAAGCAAGACTCTTAAAGTGTGTTCTGCAGACTCTACAAAAGAATGACAGATAATCTACAGTTTTAGATTAAATTTATCTTTTTCATCATGCATTGCTGTAACAAGGATGAATTTGCATGTAGAATATGGATGGTTCTAACTGGTGGCAAAATTATACACTCAAAATAAAATTGTAGTTTTTGCTGTTCACATTTGGTGTCTTGACAGTAGCACATGTCTAATCCTATGATGAACTGGTGTAGCCTGACAAAAGGCTGTTCAATGGGATTTTTATGTACTCTGTTAAAAATGTTTATACTTTTGATGGCTTCATTCAGCCTTTGTAAGATCATATTTTTTTTCCTGACATTTATCATGCCTCAAGACTTTAAGTAGCAATCACTTTCAAAATTGTGATGGTTAGGCCACTACATGTTCTGGGTGCAGTTTTACTTTTATCTCAAGACTGTTAATGAGGTCAGGTTCACTGAGAGGTAATATTTTTAGCTCAATTGATAGCAAGTGAAAAAAAATTACAGGCTTTTAGACACACAGATCCTTTTTCAAGTCTGTTTTGCTTGAGTAACTTTAAGAAAACCAATAGGAAAGTTTGGTCATTTTTTCAGAAGAAAACTTTTTTCCCCCTACTGATATCTCATGAATGTATATTTATTATCTACACACAAATTTTTTGAACAGTTACAAAAAGAACAAATCTCTTGCAATAGCCTTGAACGTCAATGTAGTCGGAGGTTCCACTGACTGTGGAACTGCCAGTCTTGTGAATTGAGAAACTACTCAGCTGTGAAGCTTGTCCGCAAATCTAATCATATTCTGAATTACTCCTGAAGTGCAGTTAGCATTGCTCTAATAAATATTGTACTCTGATATCAGTCAATGAAGACTGTTTTCTTTCTGTTGTTGCTCCTTTTGAAAATAAATTAGGCCAGGGAGGGAAGCTGTTCTGACATCAGCCTGTGTCCTACTCTACAGGTACTTGCCTATTCTGACAAACGATGAAATAAAAAATAAAAGGGAGAACCATATGTACGGTCCTGAGCAGCCAGGTTCTTTCATAGATGGAAGTCAGGTGTCTGAGTGAATCTGTTCTACTTTCTTATTTCTAGTCTTGAAGTATAATAGGGGTTTGCATTTCTCCTGCCCTGTTCTTCCTAACTCCTCCTTTGTATAGCAATCAGTAGCATCTTTTGTCTCAGACCCTTATTTATCCCTGCTGTAGTTAATTTAATTAGAATTCATGAATTTTCAGAACATAAGTGTCTCTTGAATTCAGTTTGTTATTAGTGTGAAGTATTGTGCTACTAGAAGTATTGTATTTAGGATAACAGTTTAGGAATTACTTCTTCAAACTCTTTAAATATCAAAACAGAAACTATTTCCTTCTCCTCGTCTGTATAGCAGAATAGTTTGGATTTGAAGTAGGTTGTCTAGTACTAAGTCCCACATTTTGATTTGCTTTACTGGTGCAGTGTAGCATGCTGCTAATCTTTGCGACTGCTGTAGCTGAAGTCAGAATAGTCCAAAATGATGAAAGAAGGACAAATAAATGACCCAATCCCTTTCTAGGGGTTTTTGAGAAAGTTTATGAAAATTGTTGAGACACATTAAAAAAAAAAAAAAAAAAAAAAAAAAAAGGGAAAATTTTTTAAAAATTTTGGGGAACAATAAAAAAAAAAAAAAAAAAAAAAAAGACAGGTCAAAATACTTGGTGCAGGTATTTTATCCAAATCTGTAGAACCTGTTAGAAGATTTGTTTTGTATTTGTAGGCAATTGAGGCATTTCAACCAGAAAAAGTGTACTGAGGAACTTTTGGTATAGGCCCTTCAGTACACTGGAGAATCACTTGCAGTCTAGCAGGTTTGGCTTGGTATTCTGCAAACCTGTAGGTTTCTGAATGCTGAGCTATTGTCACTTTAACGTAGATAATCTTAGTGCTTTTTAATTTTGAAAATGAACAGTGATGCAACTAGTCTGAAAAATGCCCCCACACACACACACATTATGTATAAGTATTCTTTTGCATCATAGTTACTTTATTATGCTCCATACAAGAAGCAAAATTTCATGAGGTCTTTTACGTTCTGCCAAATTTTAGAGTACGTGAATAAAATATTGCACAACAGATAATTAGGTTTTGGGCTTGTGAAACGGACTATAAAATACAAACTGAGGCAAAGCAGCTTTTCCAGCATTGTGTTACAAAACAAACCATTGTTTTTGTTGGTAAATTTTGTGCCATCTGTGTTGAGCTACTTGCGAGGGGGGGGGAAGTTACAGAAGGCTTCAAAAAGAGTTAGTGAAGGGTTTAGATTAATGACATTTAGAGGCTACTTTCCAAGTCAGAGTGGAAAATCTGTAACTGTAGGCATCAAGGGCAAAGTTCCTAGGCTTTCTCATTCCTTTCTAGGGAACTGCTAAACTAGAATTTCTGGAAGCAGGTCAGTTCCTTCAGTATTTGTGGGAAGGACTGTGTGGAAACACTTGCAGTTGGTGATTAGAATATTTAGAAATTTTTTTACATTTCCAGCTGAAAGAAACTTGCAGTTGTTGACTCTAGAGGGTCATACAAGGATTTCTGAGCTGAAGGAGTTGGATTCCTGACAAGGCTGAGAAAATGTGGTAGGAGATTGCCCTGATAATCACTTCACAGAGACCAGGTTAACTGTTTAACATTTTGGAAATGGCTTACTCTTCTAGTTAAAACTAAAAGAAGCAATTCCAGTGGATTTATTTCCTCTTTTCTTCCCTACTAATAAACACTTAAACTTTGCCACAAATCTTGACTTCTACCAAAATTTTTACCGTTTTTTACCACCTAAGCTTCCAAATGATTATTTAGTTGTGCTCCTTTCTTACATGATTTTGGTTTGAAGAAAAACATCCACACAGTCTCTATGGAATAAGCTTGTTAGCTATTTCTGCCTCTCTACTCAGAATCAGGAAATAGTTGGTGAGGAACTTGATGAAGTCCTTGCTGCTGACTATGTTTTTTTCCAAAGCAATTGAATGTTTTTTGTTTGGTTTTTTTTCATGATGCCAGAAATATTCCATTCTGTCTCTCTTGACAAGAAGAGGGGTTTGCAGAAAGGTCATAACCTCCTCAGGTCACCTCAAGATGCTTCTGAGAATGTTGTATTTGAATTAATTGCATGGTACTAAATCCGCAAACAGGAGTCAAACCAGTGGGATCTTCCTTTATTCTCAGTGTTAATGTAATAGAGAAACTATAATTGAGGCCAGAGCTGAAGCTTGACAGAAGAATAAATGGGTTAGGTCTTTCAAAATAATCTTTTTTCCTCAGTGCACTTGTCTGATGTTATGCTGCCACTTGATGCTAGGAACCGTCAAGCCACTTCCTTTCACTTTCCTGGGAAGCATGCGTCCTTGATGTCTTGCCAATCGATTGATCCTAAGCAGCCAGTAATACTGAGACCAATTGCATGCAGTTTGCAGTGAGGTTTTTTTGTGTCACTCTTACCACCTTACGGAGGTACAACATTTCATTCTTAGAGTGGAATTACCATGATGTAACCTTGAAATGGTTTGATGTTAATATCAGAAAGCATCAAAACACCTTGGATTCTACTTAAAATACTATAGCTTGTTAAAAAATTGGAAAAGCTTAGAGTATTTTTCTAAAATGTCTATGAGCAATTTAGATTTAGAATCACCCATATTTTATATCTCATGAGTTTGTCATACCTGTAAGTTTCAGGACGCTAACTGTCCCACACCAAAACTCCCTAACAGTGTGTTGTTATGTGAGTGCTGTAATTATTTTCCTGTGTTTGGCACCTTGCTTCATTTTGTGTGTTCCCAAATATGCAATAAGTAGTCAGAGGTTAGTAGCCTGTTCCTGTATGTCAGGGGCCGGCTCCATGCAGATCTCTGTGAAGGCAGTATTTGTAATACAGAGTTTCTTGTCTTGAGGCTGGTTGTTCCACCCCTGTAACGGTACCTCCTTCCCTTTCTACCCTCCAGCATTCCAGGTTAATAAGTCATCCTCAGTCAAGTACAGAATAGTATTTCTGTTGGAAGTGAAACATGCTGTATTGAATGCTAATGAACTCTATTGGAGCAACTGTTAAGCTGAAAGAGGGTAGATTTAGATCAGATATTAGGAAGAAATTTTTACTGTGAGGGTGGTGAGGCACTGGCACAGGTTGCCCAGGGAAGCTGTGGATGCCCCATCACTGGAGGTGTTCAAGGCCAGGCTGGATGAGGCTTTGAGCAACCTGGGCTAGTGGAGGGTGTCCCTGCCCATGGCAGGGGGGTTGGAACTTGATGAACTTTATGGTCCCTTCCAACCCAAACCATTCTATGATTCTATAACTTGTGCTTTTCTACTTTTACCACTTCACATAGTACTATGATTCTAAGAATTTCTATGGTAGGCAATCATATTTAAAAGGCAGAGAATGCCCACATTTGGCTAATGGCTGCTGGAATCTTAGACAAGCATACTTGTGTTCTGCTACTTTTTAGCAAGTTCAGTTTGTCCTAAGAATGTGTATATTTAATAAACGGGTGCATAAACAGTCTTTATTAGTGCCTAAATTTGTGCTGATATGCCCATATTGTGACTGGGTATTGACCTGTATTAGTTTACTGGATTGTTCGTCCAAGCCTTGTTTGGAACAGAATTAGCAGGGTTGCTTTCTCAGACTTTTTTGTGCTCTTCTCCAGTGATTTCTGTTTTCTCTTTTTCATCTTAAGGCAAGACTTTCGAAAGTCTTTCCAAGTTTGGCCATTATGAGAATGTTTCGTTTTTGTTGACATAAACAGAGTCACAAGCATTTCCTGAGCAGAAGCTTTTGTAGTCCTTGTAGGAGTCTCTTTTTTTTTTATAGCTATCCTAATGTTTTTGTAAAGCAAGTTTTGCTGACTTAGAGATTTGTGATTGTGAGAAGAAGTCTGCATTACGATCTGCACTTAGAATTCTCTTGTTTACATTAGTTTTTCTAAGGTAGTTTTTCTGCTGGACAAATTTTGCTTGTTTTTTGAGAATTTGCATGCGAAGTTGCAATGCTTTGGTGTCTGCCCTTGCGCAGTGTTATTACTTAGAAAAATCGAAAAGAACCACAAACCGCTTTGAAGACCAAGTGAGAATGCTACTGTCCTTGAATCAGTAAGGGAGATGTTTTCAGTCATAGCACACTAAAACCATAGAGTCTAGAAACTTCATACAGAAATTCTATTGTGACTTTGTCATGCTGTTCTTTGAGTTGAACTAAATGTTTGCAGGAAGCATTCAGTTATCTGTAATAGTGCCCTGCCTAGTCACCAAGAGTCTGTGTTGAAGTTTAGGGCAGAATCTTCTAATGTTCTGATAGCATTATTTTTTTAACGGGAAGGATGCTAATGAAGGATGGGAAATCTCAAGAAGTTGTGGTGTACTTTGGAAAACTTCAGTAACATGTTTTCTGAGAACAGAGTTTTCATGCATACTTTGAAACACTGGGTTTTTAAAATGTTAATCTTAATTCTGAAGCAACTATGTATTAACATTTGGTTTTGGGATTTTATTATTTCTGTGGAAATCTTCCTAAATTGTTTTGTCAGCCTTTTATTCTGGCTTAATACAGTTACTATGTTGGTCTTTATTTCTAGCATAGTGCAATCTTGCATTTGTGTAATAATTTTCATGTTACTGTAGGAGACAGCAGACTTCCATAAAAATACAGTTTTAATGAAATTACAAGTGGTAAATCCAACAGTGAAGGAAGTGAAATTGTGGTACAGCTCACTTCAGAAGGAATGTGAATATATCTTAAAGGCTTCAAAATTACTTACATTTAAATGCTTACTGTTAAATTTTCACTTGTTAATCAATGTTGAGCTTGATACAGACCATATTAAGGGGAGTTTTGAGACTAGGTTGTTGAAAGCTTTTCCTGATAAAAAATAGATTTTAAAAAAAATTCAGGATGTGTGTGTCTTCATTTAAGACATCCATTTTAACACAATCACTATAGTTATGTGTAAATCCTTGATATTGAGGTGTAGATGTGTTCTGTTTGAAGGTTCACTTTTGAGTAGAAATAGTAACTGTTCTGTAAGTAAATCTACATTGCTTTCTCACTGTCTCTCGTTCTTCAGGCTCCCATCCCAAAGAGTGCTCTTGTTCCTGTGATACCTATTACCAAATCAACAGGATCACGATTCCGAAACAGTGTAGAAGGACTGAATCAGGAGATTGAGATAATAATTAAGGAGACGGGAGACAAAGAGGAACAGCTTGTTGTATGTATCTGCCACCATGATTGCTTTCTATAATTACTTTGGTTCTGCTTTGAGGTTTTTAAGTCATAAGCTTTATTTTGCATAGTTCTTGAATTAAATTTGTCTGGAATTAATTTTACTTTCTTTAATAAAGGTAGTTGAAAAGTCTCTTGGAAAGAAAAAAGAAGGAAAGAGTTAAAACTTGAATCTGAACCTTTTTCTCTGTGATTACTGTGATGTAATTGGCTTTCCATTAAAGTAAGAAATCTCAGTAAAACAGGGGGAAAGGCAAAAGGCTGGTTTTGAGAGTTTTTGTAGTAACTTTTTCTTCTCTTTGCCCATGATGAACTGTCCCAATCCCAGCTGAAGCACAACTTGCCCATTTTTAGCTTTCATTTTTTAGAGGTAAATTTAGTAAAAAATATCAGCAATGCAGGCCACGAAGACAATTAAGGGACTGGAACATCATTCATATGAGGAGAGGCTGAGAGAGCTGGGAGTGTTCAGCCTTGAGAAGCGAAAGCTCAGGGGGATCTTATCAGTGTGTATAAATATCTGATGTGCAGGAATGAAGAGGAGGGAGCCAAACTCTTCTCAGTAGTGCCCAATAACAGGACAAGAGGTGGTGGGCATAAATTTAAAAACCGCTGAATTCAATCTGACCATAAGAAAAACACCTTCTTTCCCCTTCCCTCCCCCCCTTAGTTTTAAATGTGTGAGGGTGCTCAAAACTGGAGCAAGTTGCCCAGAGAGGTTGTGGAATCACTGTCTGTGAGTGGATTCAAAACTTGACACAGTCCTGGACAGACTGCTCCAGCTGACTCTGCTTGAGCAGAGGTGTGGAACTAGATCATCTCACAAGGTCCCTTCCAACCTCATCAATTCTGTGATTTAGTGAAATCTTGAAAACTGTTGTCCTTAGTTTCTGAACCGGACTTACTTTATTTTCTGCTGAAGTCTTGTGTAATGAATAAAATTTTCTACTTCAGATAGTTTTATGAAACCTTAAAAATTCCTCAGCATTACTAGATTTAAAGAAATTGCTAACCAGACAAGAGTAGCTATCTGATACCTTTTATTTTTAACAGCCTCAAGATATTCCAGATGGGCACCGTGCACCACCTCCGTTGGTTCAACGTAGTAGTAGTACTCGCAGCATTGATACCCAAACACCTGGTGGAGCAGACAGGGGTAGTAACAACAGCAGCCGCTCCCAGTCCATATCTCCAACCTCATTTCTTACAATCTCTAATGAAGGCAGTGAAGAAAGTCCATGTTCTACAGATGATCTTCTTGTTGATTCCAGAGATAAAGGTACTGTATAATTTTAGAAGCTCAACAATGCTAAACTTTAACATGTTGCTATGTGTGTAAACACCTAGTAAAAGAGGGGATTTGTTTCCCACGTCCATGGAGAAATGGTAGAACATTTTTCTCTTCCTAAGTGATCTGATTTTTCCAAATTGCTCCAAATACTGTATATGCTCATATATCTAGTGGTCTGTAATTGAAGCTGGATAGATGTGACTGAGGAATGTGCTTTCCAAACAAGTTGGGTTTTTTTTAAATAATAAGATTCTTCAAGCACTGTAAGCCAGTTGCAGAAGCAAGAGTGTGCAGCAACAGGTGGAACAGCAAAGTAGGCTAGTCCTGTTGCTGGTGTCAGTTATTTTTTATGATCTTGGAAAAAATGGGAAGCCTTCCAGTGTTTCCATACGTGCTCCCATAAAAGTTTAACTGTTCGGGGTTTTTTAAGTATTCTTTTTTACCAGAAATCTTCTGAGGCATACTAGGAGAATTTTATAATTCAATGTAAACCTGTTTTGGTTTTTAAGGAATAGGGCTTCTGCTCATCTCTTTTGACTAGATGGTGACAATGCAGGACCATAGATTCAGGTTTGCAGTTTCAGACTGAAAGTGTCGAGGAATGAACAGGCATTGCAGAGGAGCCTGCAAAAAGTATAAGGAGAAATAGAAAGGAGGAAAGGGATTGAGATAAGAAAGCTTATTTGCAAATTAAGACCTGGAGGCAAATAGAAATGTTTATTAATTTTGTAACATTAGTAATGAAGTGGGTTTCGATTTGGGGGGCATTTAAAGATAGTTATTGGGTTTTTTTTATAGTGTGACACATTTAAGTAATGAGATGCTCTGTTCCTGCAGAGAATGGGAATAATTCTCCCTTGCCAAAATATGCTACCTCACCAAAACCCAACAACAGCTACATGTTCAAGCGTGAACCTCCAGAGGGCTGTGAAAAGGTGAAAGTCTTTGAGGAAAACTTGTAAGTTGATCCTTACTACGTAAGAAAAAGCATTCAACATTCAGAGTTACCCATTGGTTTACTGATTTTTGTGTCAGATCAAAATTAGTAGTCCAGTTGCTAAAGCTGTGTTAACAGCCTGATCTCTGTTGTTTTGTGTGCCTATAAACTGTTACATATGTATGTATTTTATTGGTAGGATTTTGTGTTAAAATAAAAATCTCGAGAGACTTTTTTTAAAACCAGCATAATTTCAGAGACTCTCTCTTACCTGGCAGATGGTGGGGGAGAAACTCAAAATAAGCAGGTACAGAGAGATGTAATAAGCTGTAATGCAGGTGCATCAGCTAATATATGTCACAGCTTGACAGGCACATACAGTAATCCAGACTCGACCATATTGTTTTCAGCTACGTCTGTGTAGCTGTGAAACTTGTAGTGTCAGAGGAGTGCATTTGACTGTTTGATGCTTGGGTTATTCTGAAAAAGCCAACTTCTGTAATTTGTGAATATTCTGAGGGTTTTATGTTTTATTATTTTCAGTTCAGTTTTTATACCCTTATGTCACTTGGTTGTAAGAGTCTTAACCTATAGTTGAAAATTTCATTTCATCACTCAAGGAGAATAATTTGGTTATGCCTATATTATCTCAACAATGCCATGTAGTATGAGTAGTAATTATAAAAAGGCAGCTATACTTCTTAAACTTTCCATCTCTCATCTCTGCAAATGGATTTTGCGAGGTCTCTGTGACCTCTCCATAGCAATGTGGAAAGGGTTACAGTAACTGAAGTTACCTGTCTCTATTTTAGTGTGTAAGCTACGTTGCCAGCAGATTAGATAGTCTTCACTTGCTCCAAAAACATATTGTATTGTGATTTGACTTGCATTTGCATTTCTTTTTGGATGTCCTTGCTGCGTAACTGTAGGACTGTTCTGCTATAGAGTGAAACAGGCTTCTATGGAAGTCTTTACCTAGCTATGGCAGTTCTTAGACACTGCAGTCTCATGCAAAATTCTTTCTCACATCTGGTACTTGCATTCCACATGTATGTGGAATACATGAGTGTGACTATTTAAAGATCAACCTTTGTTTAACATTATTTCTATTTGAAGTTTACAGGATTTTCATTTGAGGAAAAAAATTTATAAATGGAACTGAATTTTCTGGACACTTGGAGAATCAGCTAACATGGAAATGTACCCTATTTTATGAACAATTACTTTTCAGAGTAGATTATCTTGTACAAGAGCGTATGAAAGTTTGGCTTGCTTGGCCTAGTATAGTGAAGATAGAAGTGCATATGGCTGCCTTACAAATACATGGAATAGAGAAGGAGGTTATAGGCTAAAGGACAATGCTGGCAACAAGAAAAAATTAGTATAAATTTCTAATAGTTATTTTCCAGCAGGGAAGAGAGGCTTTGGAACAGATTTCCATAGTTTTGTCTTAAAGTAGAGTTAGACTAGCTTATAGATTTATATTGCAGGGT